GAACATTAGTATTCTTTGAGAATGGATGTAAGATCTAGAGGAGTTGTGCAAATAGTGACCTTCCCCTCTACAGCTATGGCAGACCTGGCCTCTTGATTGGTGTTGTATAGAAATAAGTATATCCTGTGATGTGTGATACCTCAGGGGAGCAGTGGCGGATTTAGAGTTAGTAGGGGGACCTGTGCATAGCTTCGTTTTTGCCCCCTCCTCCCTGCTCGGGACCCAGCCAAGAAAAAGAACATTCGAGACAGCAAAAAAATGGCAAAGCAAATTCATTGCTAGACTACTTTAAAAAACCATGTTTAGAGCACAGTTCACAGAAGAAGTTTGCAGAATGCAGAAAGCCTGGACCACTTTGCGACTTGCAATGCTTATTAAGTTCAGTCGTTCATCAGATTTGTCCTGCAATTTGGGGCCCCCTGTCATTGGGGGCCCTGTGCCACCACACAGTTTGTTTCATGGTAAATCCGCCACTGCAGGGGAGACAATGCAATAAACCTTGCAGCTCAAGCTTAACCCTTTGGTCCACTCAATGAGTTAATCCAGCTTCTGTACAAGATGAAAGAGGCAAAGAACTATGTGTTTCATATCTTAGGCCGTGTATCCTCAAAAGTACAAGTCTTGAGATGCACTGTATAGAAGAGAGTCTATGGGGTTTTTTTAAAACAAGAAATGGTCAAATAATTTGTGGATTTGGCTAGTCAGAGGCATCACCGTTAACCCTAAAGTTTCAAAATTATAGAACTGGCTGAAAAAATCATGAGAATTTTTAAAATACAAGTTCTATAGGGCTTCCCCCCTTTTGTTATTGGAGTTTCTGATCCCTCTGCGTGCACTTCCTTCATGCTGTGTTCCACAACCACAAGGGATAGAAACTTACCTTCTCTGTGGGAAAAAAATGCGAAAAAGATTCTCAAATACTTACGTGATTATAGGAGCAAGGGCTGCTCTTGTTTCTTTTTGGAATATCCATCTATCAGCCTTAGCATAGACTGAAATTAATGATATCCATCAAACACAGGCATAATCAGTTTTACACTCTGTTGATTCACTGTTAGCATCCAGGAGTGGTATCACAGGGCTGTTTGGTTTACAATAAAAAACAAAACCTGTAACAAGGTTTTGAGGCTTCAGCATTGTCATTAAGACAAATAGATTCTGTCCCGCAGTTATACTCCATTGATTTTGATGATATTTCATGGGCATAAGCTCAGAGCAAAACCTGACTCAGTTTCTCACATCCAAAATGCCACATTCCTTCCAGCTCTCCCCATTGCCCCATCTGTTTCTGTTTGCACTCCCTTTTTGGCCCAGCAGAATGACCTCTTTGTCAAATGACTCAGTTCAGGGTGGAGGTTATGCAGAAGCACTTCTTGTACCCACTGGATCTACGTCACCATACGGTAATGGTGTTACTGTGCCGTGCTTCAGTACTTCCTTTTGGAAGTACTAAAGCATGGCCCAGTAACCACCCATACTGCACTTATTGGTGGCACATGCTTAGATTTCCCCACTACGATGCTGTAGCACAGGGGCGGGCAATTATTTTGGGCAGAGGGCTGCTTACTGAGTTTTGGCAAGCCATCGAGGGCAGCATGATAGGCAGCTCAGGGCAGATTAATATTAATTTTCTAAATTTTTTAGGGGCCCCGCGGGCTGGATACAATGGCCAAAAACTAAAAGGTGCGCAGTTTGCCCACCCCGCTGTAGCAGCATGTTATAAGCGGGAAGAGCACTGCTATGGTGACATAGCTAGTGATCACATGTAGACCCGTGTGATCACTACATCACTGTAGGGTGACGTGTAGCTGCGCCCACTGATGATCACTTATTGTATACAAAGTTCAGTCATTCCTTACTGTTCTGAGGAGTTGGCCATCTGAATGCTATGCTGCATTTCATCAGTCCCTCTGCTGCTTTGCTGCCTGAGCCATAATCTTTAAACACAATCTTTATTCCCTCCTTGTAATTCACCACAATGCTATCATGCAGCGGCCTAATAGCTATCACACAATTCATTCAGTAGAGGGCAGAAGTATATAAACATATATGGAAGCCAGTAGTTAAGGTTCTAAGCATAAATCTAACTAAAAGGACACAAAACAATAAGGCTTAGATAAGGCTTCTGTTCAATAACAGCTATCATATTTTTCCTTAATTATCAAAATGAATCTGTCTACAGCCCTGTCATTTCTGAAGACATTGATTTATTAAATCTGCCTTTGACTTAGTTCAAATGAAATGCTCATCAGCTTGTTGGCCATGTACCAGAAAACTAGAGCTCTACTGCCCCCTAGTGCTATAAATATATTTATGACAACCTCTCTCTCTGAGAAAAGGGCCATAGACTCTCTAAGACTCTCTTCAGGAATAATAAAAAAAGAGTCTGTGAGGACAGACTATCTGTTACTAAGTAATCTTTGCAAGGCAAGTACTCTAAAACTACTGAAAAGTTTTGTTTTTTTTTAATATTGAAAGTTGTCTTTAAAATAAAATTACTCTATGCTCAACAACTTGAAATCTTGTCAATGCTATGCCTTTGACTCAATCCTTCTAAAGTATTACTATTATTGCTTTTATAGGCATTAAACATGCATCTCCTAGAAACTTTCTTCCAGGACAGAGCTCTCCAACTATCATAGTTCACCAGACAAGGCATACACTTTAAATCACATATTCTACTATTTACCTGTATAAGCTTTCCACATTTTTACATCAGAGCTACCACGTCTATTCAACAGGCTATTGCAATGTCTGTGGGCACCAAGATTTGTCACTTGGGGAAACAGTAGGCAGTAGGGGAACAGTGTACCTCTAAGGACCATATGATAGACAGAGTCTTGGTTTGAGCTGATATCATACAGCCCCAGATCAATACGCTGACCCCAGAAGAAAACTCCCAAACCTCTAAGGACCTCATATTTAGGGCTCAGAACTCCTTTTGCCTCTAGACCAATAGGGCTACAACCTGGATACTTGATACATTTAGGGCTACATTCATTGACATTCCCTAAAGACTTTTTCTTTTCTGAGAAAAATAATCCATCTCATCACTGGTCCTATCCCCTATCCAAAATGTCCATATTTGTATTGCATCCACCTTTTGCACAAGAAAATCCATTTTTCATGTAACTTACATAATTCCTTATTTCCAAGGCTTTCTTTTAGGATGGAGAATAGGCATGAACATAATCATGTTAATAATGTCACTGCTTGGACACATATGGAAGGATTCAATCTTGGAAGTTGGCTTGGAAGTGGCTGTTTGTTCACCTCTATTGATTGCTCATTCCTCTTTTGGATGATAGGCTGTATGATGCATAATAAGGAAACTTCACCCTCACACCTGTTCTCAAGCCAGTTTTTTGTGTCTGAAGGCTAGAAGCACGGGGGGAAGCCTAGTCCATGCCCCTGAACTTAGGTGCCTCACACTCTGATGCATCTATGCTTAAACCTCTGGGGGGGAAATAATCAAGAGGTGAAGTGTTAAGAAACATATCAGTTGCACCCACAACCTTAATTCTGTCTTCTGTCCCTGTGCTGTATTCCAGGAATCTCTCTCAGTGTCAAATTTGGAACAGTAAGTCTACCTCAGGTCCTCACAAGGCTAAGCAATTAATTCACTTAAGTACTTCTATTTCGGACCACTCTGGGGAGGAAAAAAAGAAAGTAATCCTTTATGCGGTAACCTAGTCTCCGTATTAAGGACAGTGCTACTACCCCAACAGTATAATGGCAAAATTGAAGACCCATCTAAATGCTGTAAATTTATAACAAAAAGCAGGAGCAGCTAGTGGCAACAGCAGGTGCTTTCTTTCTCCAGAAGTAACAGCCTGACACTGCAGACAGGCACTATGTTACAAGTTGTAGCAGTCTGGGACCAGATGGGCATTCTAGACAGCATCATCAGTTAAAATAAATGAAGATGTTGTGGATCAGCTGTGACTCCTCCATACAAAATATATAGCTAGGCTTGGCAAAATTCTATTCTAATTTAAAAAAATAATAATTTTGACATATATTAATGTTTATTTTTAAGCGTTTAGTTCAATTTTTCTCTTTTTGTAGGATTGTGTGAAATTAGGGGTATGGGGGATCAGTCAATTTATCATAACAAAAAGTACTGCAGGACTGCCGCCAACTGAGCAGTAGTGCTCCCATCCGTCTAGAGCCCACTTGCTCCTAGCTCCCTCCTCTGCTTTGTCACTTTGCCTCCTTTGTTCTGGGAGTTGCAGTCCAAACTATAGTCATCATGGTTCTGTACGACTGCTCTCCCTGTCATCACCACACGCTCCATCAGCCATCATTTTTCTTACCTCCTCTTTCTATAAATTTTAATTAACAATGGTAATGTTTTTTCATTAGTCTGTATGAAGTGAAATCAATATTTATCAACTTTTACCAATAAAAATCAAACCCTGCCAAACCTATATGTAACTTTCTAGTAAGTACACTTTCATTCAAGTAGCCCCAAATGACTTTCAATTACTTAAGCCTTCATCACATTCTTCTGAGATAATTGTTAATTTTATACACTTGCAGTTGACACACATTAAATAACCTGTCACATGCAGTTCAGTGTTAGTGAACGTATCAATGCAACAGAATCTGGCTACAAATTACCTGTTTCAAAACACTCAAAATTCCCATTCCAAACATTTTTCATAGCGACCCAAGTTGCTAACTCATCTCCATGCTCTTCAGACTCTGACATTTCTCTTTTCCTCAAAATATTCCTGATGTCTCACTCAGTGCTGCTACTATAGACCCAGATACCATGGTCAACCCTCAAAATTTCTTCTAGATAATCACATATCTTTAAGTAAACCTTTTAAGTGAAAATGAAGCTGAGGGGTCTGGAGCTATCCAGGGTTGGCTAACCACAGCTTTACAGACCACCAGTAGCCCAGAGTATTGATCTTAACAAAGTAATTCTGAAAAGCCACACAACTTTTTCAGAGAAGCTGAAAAAAAAAACCCAGAAAGAAAAAGAGTCTTGCTATAGAGCTATATATACTTTATTTTACACTTATGATGTTTTTATGCTGTTTCATGGTCATAAAAAGGACAACTTAAATTTACAAAAACATCAAGACAGCATTACAACAATATATAGTACTTAATGCACAAAAATGGTCTTCCCAACCCCAACATGTTCCTAATTTTCTGTATTTTGATGGCTCTGATGATCTAACATGAAAGGAAATGCTCATGAAGCAGATTTCAAAGGATGACAGTTTCTACTTTGGCATTAAATAAACTAAAAAATGAAAATATTATTGGGAAACATCTTCTTCTTTCCTGATGTATGGACTGTTTTGTTACCATGAGGTTCTATAGTTTTGTGGCATCAGTTCAGTGGGAACCAGGATGGACGTTTCCTGTTTCTTTCAATGATCCGTTTGCCTTGATCTTGTTTTCTGGGTTTCTCTCCTTGATACAAAACTAGAGTCTCTACAGTGGGTGTATTAAATGGTCCTCCTTCCTTTTTCTTTATTTCAGCCCTTATGAGAGAAGTTTCCATTTGAACCTTTGTATAACAGTATTTACAAAGGACATGCTTCAGTTTCACATTGCCACATTTAGGACAAACATCTATATTTGTCTGGAGAAAAAAAATGGAACAGTTTAAAATTAAAAGCAAAGACAAACAAGAAAATACTTTACAAATACTCTAGACATTTTGAGTGAAGAGTTATTCCCACTGCATCAAGATATATTTTCTTACAAATTTCCATATGTAGAAGAGCCGTACAAAGTTTAAAATACAAGGCTCCATATTCCCACAGTGAACCTTCACCCCACTAAAATTCAGACAGACAACAGAGTTGTACGCTAAATTTATTTTCCAATTTAACAGCAAATATTTAATAAAAGCAAACAACAGTGCTGTTTCCCATTACAAAAAAATTAAAATACACAAGTTTCAACTTAACTGTGTAGCACAAAGTATAAAATTAAGGATTAGTTGTCAAAATACAACGAATCAACTATAAGGGAACTGGTTTAGAGTTTTTTGTTGGCTTACTAATTTACAGTTTGAATTGCACTTTTGGCAAATATTAAGGAGTTTGTTTTGTATAGGTATCATTAAGCTTCGTGTTTATAACCAAGAGCAGCCCTTTGAAGTTAATGCCTGAAGTATTACACCTGGCAAAATCTGCAGGATTGGGTTATAAGATACATAAATGTATCTTGATTTGCAAAGTATTTAGAAGTTTCACTCATACTGAAATGTTTAGATATAAACTAAAAAAATATAAAATTCATCTGTATTGTAATCTAATGATAGGAATAGTTTTTTGCGGCTTTGTTTGCAACTCTTTGAATCCATTTTGAAAGTGATACAGGATTGTGGGAAAGCAGGGCTGGCAAATGATTTTAAAAACACAATGTCTACAGAAATGTTTCAGCTTGTATTGACATTATTTGGAATATTTTTACTTAGCTTTAAAGCAGGAACACAGTGCATATTTTCTAAACCAGGAGTGTCACATAGGGCCCACGGGCTGTATCTTGTTTGTGGGCCAGTGTATCGGGGGAGCAATGAATTCATAGTTACAAGGCCTCACTGGGGACGGCCTTTGGCAGCAGGGAATGAATGACCACTGCCCGAAAGCAGTGCTGCTCATGCTGCTGTAGTTTACCCCATGGCCACAGCCTAGTCTAGATCTAGCTTGTGGGGAGCCCTTCAGTCCATGTCTAGCTTGGGAAATGAGCACATATGACACCCGACTAAAATGTACTGCAAGCTTTGTGGCAAAAAAATTCCTTTTGATGACCCAGAGGGAAAGCTGATAGAAATCTGTCAAGTTACCTTGATTTTTATCATGTTACGGGGGTTTCGTCTCCTGCAGCGGTTTACCTCAATGGTCCGCCTCGACTTGGGAGCTGCTAGCCAAAAAATGTTATCCAAGAAGCTTGGAGCATGATTACTTTCACCTACATCTTCCGCTAGCTCAGGAAGAGCAGCTGGAGCCTGAACAGCCAATGCTGGTGCTTAGGACAGAGAAGGGAAAAAATACTTAGCGATGAACTTGTCACAGGGCCACTTCATTTACTTCAGTACAGACAGTCAAAAAGCCCGAGGCTGAATCAATTCAGTCTTCGCAGATCGGTCTAGGATGCATACACTGAACTGAGAAGCAAGTGAATCACAGAATCATAGGAAACAGGGGTTAGCAGGGACCTCAGGAGGTCTAGTCCAACCCCTGCTCCAAGCAGGACCATCAAGAGTGAACAGATATTCACTTTTGACTTAGATAATGCAGCCTCAAACCTGTAGTGGCCCAGGCCAGGGGCTGGCGCTAGACCACAGCTCCCTGCTTGGCAGGAGCAGACAGCTTGGGCCATATCAGCCTAAAGGGGGAAGTTTACAGGGGTGGTGCACCCTGGGAAGCTGGCACACTACAGGTTACCTTGAATCTGGAGGGGCTCTGGGACAGAAGTTCAATGAACCGATTTAACCTACATCACTTATGTACATCCACCCAGGTTTAGCTGAACCAGTGTCCGCCATTTTGAAAGCGGTTTACGTGCAGGGAACTTCTCTTGTGTTGCAGTTGAACTGATTTCCCCCCCGCTTATACCTCTGCGTGTGTAAGGTCCCTCCCTAGGCCTGGCAGGGGATGTGGCCCATGGAGTCACATCGCCGCGCAGGTGAAGTCCAGGAAACACCGCCTCCCCTTGTGCACACGCACAGACGCCGGGCACGGACGGACAGGCAGAGCAACGCCCCGCCCCAGGCCCGGAGCCCCGCGCAGCACCCACCCCAGGTCTGGCCGGCGTCGGGGAGGGCCCGCCACAGCTGCCCCCAGCAGCGCTGCAGGAAACCGCGCACCTGCGCCACCGAGGACACAACCACGACCAGCGCCGCCATAGCCTTTCTCCAACACGGAGTATCCGCACGGCATGTCGGGAAGCACGCGGGGCGGGACTTCCCGCCCCAGCATGCCTAGCGCACCCCGGCAGCCTGGGACTCCAAGTCCCGGAATGCCTTTCGACCATCTCCGTCCTAGGGGCGGATCTCCTTCGAGGGATGGGGGTAGTGTGTCCTGGTATGCAACAATGCCGGCCCTACCCCCTCAGCCAATCAGGGCGGCGGGGGCCGGCGCGGGAGGAAGGAAGGAGCTGCGCATGCGCGGAGCGGAGCGACTGCTAGCGTACCAAAATGGCGGAGCGCGGCTACAGTTTCTCTCTCACCACTTTCAGGTACTTGCCTGGGCCGCCGAGGGGCGGTGGCGGCGGCGGCGGCGGCGGCTGAGGCTCGGCGCAAGGCGGAGCGGGAAGGATGACCGCCGTGGAGGGGGCTGCGGCCGCGG